TCTCCCACTAAACCTAATTTACACTAACTATGATTTCTGAGATGAATTATTATTCATTTTGTATTAATTAAATCTTCATGCAACACGACATAGAAATTATGCTCTCGTTGTAGATAGTTAACTATATCCACTCGACTGGGTATGAACATATGTGGTTTGTATTAATTCCACAATCGTATCATATCATAAGATTTGAATATAGTCTGTCCGTTTTATATTTATATACTGGAAATGAATTGATTAAGAAAAAAGGAGATAAAAAAAAAACCTTAATGTAGCCTCCGGCAAGAACACGATCGATGATATCGAACAAGATGTCACGGTTATACTCAGGATGTCCCTGAATGCATAGTAAGTTATCCTCTATTGAATACATCTCTACCTCGTACATGTTTGAATATGCAAGCAGTTTTGCATTTTCCGGCAGCTCCAAAACTTCGTCCTGATGACATTTTATGATCCTCAGACTTGCTGGAACTTCGTCGCCGAAGTAATTTTCCGGTGTGACTGCCTCTTTCACGATGGTTCTTTCACGATGGTTATGTTCCCAAGGCAAAGCTCTACTCCCTTCCTTGCTCTTCCTACTTTCCCTCCCTTCACTCTAGCTATTAGCTGGATATTATCCAATCATTATATTAATAACAACTTGTTGACCAAAAAATCTTATAAGAAATTAATAAAGTTATATGAGATGCAAAATTGTCAACTGCAAGGTATGATAGAATCAAGAACAATTCAAAGAACAACTAAAAACAAAAACTATATACGAGTTGTTTGTACACATTTAAGAAAAAAAAAAAAACCAATCAAGAACCTTTCAAATAAGCTATATATTTTTTTCCTCATAATTAAATGATTATTTTCCCAGGTATTACAAAAGTCCAATCAAGAACTGTAACGCCCGTGAGTCAAAAAGGAGATTTTTTGGGCATGTGTGTCGATCCACGGGGTAAAATCAGACCGACGATTTCGGTTTCTGATTTGCCGGTTTGGGGACCGGTTTAGGAAACCCTAGGGTTTCGTTATAAAAGCGTGGGGAACGCGTTTTCTCTTTTCTTTTGTCTGAAATCAGAAGAGGTTGAGAGAAGAAAGAGAGTGTTTATGTGAGGATTGTGAGAGAAGTGATTTCCTTGAGAGAAAATCAATTCTGCTCGGGTTTTTGGAAGAGA